ATGTATGTACGATACTGTATGTCCTGTGGGGTGGAGCCCTGTGTGCCAGAGGCTCCTGGATTATGTAATTCATTTATATTTTAATGCAGTTAAGTGTGGGGCCTGGTCTGGGAATCTGCTTTATTAATCCTAATCGAGCTCCACGTCACCCACCCCGTTTGGGGGGCGTGACAGGAGTGGTATCAGAGCTTTAGGTTAAGAACCCCAGGATTGTACATACATGTGTGACATCTGTTATCCACTGAACAGTCTAGTTTTATTTCAGTTGAAGGAAATGGCACCTCGCCGTAGACTAGGCACCCAACCGGAACAACCGAACCAAGGGTTCTTGGATGCCATGTATGCTGCCTTTCAAGGCATGGCCACTAGAACCCGGAATGAGCGACCGGCTGAGGATAAGAAACAATGATATTTTTAAAAATTCAGGCGAGCGCCTATCCCCTCGTTTAACAGTGAGGGAGGACCCCAGGAAGCGGAGTTCTGGATTGACTCCATAGTCAAGCATTTGAGTACTATGGGTGTCCCAGATGAATACTGGGTGGAATTTGCGGTGTACAAGATGGAAGGGTTAGCAAACACTTGGTGGAAACAGGTCAAGAGGAGAATGGATGTCGTAAGGATGACCTGAGAGCAGTTTGAGGTGCTGTTCAATGACTAGTACTTCCCTCAGAGTTACAGGGAAGAAAAAGCATTGAAATTCATGTCGCTACAGCAAGGTGACATGTCTGTGAGGGAATATGAGGCTAAGTTTAATGACCTATCCCGGTTTGCGCCATCTCTAGTGGAGTCTGAACACATGAGATGTCTTAAGTTTGAGAAGGGCCTCAAGAACTCTGTGAGGAGATCCTTGGTAGCTCTAAGACTTCGAAACTTTCGGGATTTGGTAGCTGCTGCTACAATAGTGGAACAGGATAACTTGGCCTATTGCCAAAGCAAAGAAGAAGAGGTGGGTCGAGTCTCTGTCTCTGGTAGACCTTCTGTTTCAGGTGGACCACAACGGAGTGGTAGAAGAAATCGCAACCAGGGACAGATGGTTGGGGAAATGGCAAGCGGTGACAATAGTTCGTCTGGGAGTGACAGAAGTGCTCCTTACGGGCCCAGGTGTCACCATTGTGGACAGGTGTGCCATATTAGGAGGAATTGTCCTAATCGGCCGCCGGCTTAACAAGCCTAAAGTGACACTTCCTACAGCCAAGAAGGGCCACCACAATACATGCCACCATATCAGCCGCAACAGATGCCATACCCTCCTGCGCCGACTTATCATCCACCTCAGTATACACAGTTCCGGCCTCAAGCGCCGAGACCGGCACAACTGCCTCCACCACAACAGTATAGGCCTCCGGCTCAACGGCCTAATGTTGGTGACAGAGGAAAGGAAAAAGTACAGGGACAAGCTTATACCCTGGCAGGAGGCAGTTCGGGAGGTCAGACCAGCAACGCGGTGGTTGAGGGTATGATTCTAATCTCTCATTCTTTTGCTCACGTGTTGTTTGATACAGGTGCCACACACTCGTTTATATCGAGTTCTTTTGTTCGGACTTTGAAACTGAAGAGTGAGAATTTAGAAGTTCTGATGACTTTAAACTCCCCACTGGGATGTGTGGA